ACGGCACGTGGATGACCGAAATTTCCTTCCTCTCTACCAGTTCCCTGAGGAAATGGTGCCTTACATCTAACTGCTTCGATTTCGAGTTTGAGATGAGGTTCTGCTCTTGTTGAATCGCCCCCTGGTTGTCCTCGAAGATGGGGATGCACGGCATGCCGACCTGCGGTAACATGAAACGCCAAATCTGCCTCAAACACAAAATCTCCTTCACTACGTCACCTAGCGCGACGANGAGTTCGAGTTTGAGATGGGGTTCTGCGCTAGTTGAATCGCCCCCTGGTTGTCCTCGAAGACGGGGATGCACGGCATGCCGACCTGCGGCAACATGAAACGCCAAATCTGCCTCAAAAACAAAATCTCCTTCACTACGTCGCCTAGCGCGACGTACTCTGCTTCTGTCGTCGAAAGCGTGACGCATTTTTGCGTTCTGGAAAACCAAGACACAGCGCCTCCTCCACACGTCACGATCCCCCCTGATACCGACGTACGGTCTGCTGCCTTGCTTACAAAGTCCGCATCAGCGTACCCCTTCAAGCTGAATCCCCCGACCGTACCTCTCTGAAACGAACTACCAAAGTGACTCGTCCTCCTCGCATAGCCTAAAATATCCATCGCTGCATTCCAGTGTACCAGCTTCGGAGATGCGCAATACCTAGCTACTGCCCTTACTGCATTCGCAATGTCTGGCCTAGTCTGAGTCGCCAGCCACATCAACGATCCTACCCGCTCACGAAACGGAAAGTCTGTCGCCAAAATCAGAAAGGTTCACCCCCGAAGACATCGGAACGCTCTTACCTCCCACTACTCCATATTCTGCTGCTAGCTCATCCGTGAAAGTCTGCTGAGAAATCGTCAACCTACCGGTCTCCTTATTCCTCTCGTAAAAGCACCCAGAATACCATCTCAACTCTCCCAGGTTCTTTACTGGCACGGACTTGTTAAGGTCGGCGCCAAACTTGCCACATCTCCCCCTCTCTCCCAGCAAAAATGTCATCTCCATGTACTACCAAAATCAAAACAACACATCCATCCTCAATCAAACGAAACACACAAGCATCGGCCATGCACTGCTCAAAACCTAACGCCACCAAACACCTCTTCAGCATTGCATGCCACTGCCTAGATGCCTGTCTCAAGCCATACAGACTCTTGCCTAGTTTTACAATCATTCCAGATAGAGCTCCACATCCCTGCGGCAAACGCATGTACACGTCTTCCTCCAACTCTGAACGCACAAAAGCTTGCTCAAAATCGAAATGACACAAGTCGAGGTTCAACTCGCACGCCCAAGCAGCCAACATCCTAACAAACGAAACAGAAACGGTAGGCGCGTACAACTCTCCAAAGTCAATGTACTCTCTCTGCATATCACCTCTCGCTACAAGTCTCGACTTAAGCTTAGTGGGCCATCCAAACTCATCTGCCTTCCAATCGAATACCCACTTAGCGTTAATGACGTTCTCCACTAATTGCTACTTNCGATGTCTTCCCGGGTGGCGAGGAGCGTGGCATATGCGAGTGGAAAGCCCGCTCCTCCAGCCCCCGGGTCCACAGCTGCGAGTGCTCCCGCCTGCCCTCCGGTCCCCGCTCCCCCCGGCTCTCCGGCCTCCGCCCCCCCCAGCTTCTGCGTTCCTCGTCCACCGCGCTCCGAGCCTCCAGCATCGACACCAGAGTACTCTTGTCTAGCATCGAGATGAGTCCTGTGCTGTGCCTTGTGCCCGATCTCGTACGGCTTGGCAGCCGCGAGTCTGACATACCCTCGGTCTTTGTACCCGGGCGAAGCTGCCGCATGGCGTGAGTCGTAAACGGGGGCATCGCGGGGTCCGGCGAGGGCGGCGGCTGGCCTGGATCTGGGGTCGCCGACGGTGACAGCGAAGAGGTAGAGGACGGCTGGCCAGGAGCGGGGGTCGCCGACGGTGACGGCGAAGTGGCAGAGGGCGGTTGTGAAGGCGTGGGAGCGGGCGGCGGCGTGGTCGCTGGCGACGGCGTTGCGGCAGGGGGCGAAGCGGCAGCGGGAGCGGGAGCGGGCGACGGCGTGGGCGCTGGCGGCGGCGGTGTGGCGGTCGAAGGCGTCGGTGCTGGGCCAAAGTTGATCGAGACGACCGGCGGCGTGAACGGGGGGGGTGTCGGCGCAGCGGTGATACCAGCGGAACCCCCCTCGCCGGCTGGCGCCGACGTCACCCACGATACGTTGTTGGTGTAGACGACGCGGCAAGTGGGNCGCCCGGGCTTGGCCTTGGTCGCCGACTGGTTGAGAGCGTCGGCGGCCCATTGCGCCGATTTCATCCAAAGACGGTCACCACGCTCGTCGAGGCCGGGATGTAGGCGAAGTCGACGTTGAACACACGGCCAGCGCTGCGGCGAGCGGCCATGCCGGCCTTCATGATGCGCCAGATGGCGCTCCCGACGACGCCGTTGTACTGCGGAACGCCAGGAGGTGTGAACTCGACGCTGATGCCGTTGTCGTCGCAGAAGCGCAGGAAGTCGCCACGGGTCCACTCGGTGCCTTTGTCGACGCGGAAACACTCGATGCGCCCGAGGTCGTACCGCCCCACGTCCGCCAGCAGCCTTTTCGTTGCCGCCAGCGCGTCGGACTTCCGCCGGAGACCGTAGACCTTGTTCCACCGCGAGGCGCTGTCCACGGCGACGAACAGGTAGAGGTTGCCGCCCAGGGAAGGCACCAGCGGTCCACACAGGTCCAGGTGAACACGCCCTAGTGGCTTGTACGCCCGCGCTCCCGACCCCCGCGGTACCGACCCTCGCCTGCCTTTCGCCTTCATGCAGTCCGCGCACGGTTCCAGCTTGCCGGTGAGCACGATGCCTCTCTGCTGGGCAGTTTCTCTCCAAAGAGGCTCGCAAGTGTGGGCAAGAGAGCGGTGGAAGCGGTTAATGTCAGCGCACTTTTCAGTCAAACCAAGAGCAAACGGGGACGCACCAGGGCCAAGCGTGGCCGCACCCAAGTCAAAATCAGCACCCCCATCAATGCTATCCAAAACACCAGCCACATTCGCAGCGTCACTCTCTGGGATAAACACGGGGAAAAAATATTGATACGGGGTGTCGTCATAGCCATCCATGAGCTGCTCGTCGGTGAGCACACTCGTATTTCCAAGATCCATACCCGGAAAAGTACCCACACTCACAAACTCGGACGCCGAGGAATGTGCTACGTCGGCAGAGCCGGCGGGCGGGACGCTCTCACTCGCAGGTACTACACTGGTGGGACCAGTGGGCGGAATACGCAACATGGACACCAATGATTTCGCGGAGCCCCCCTTTTGGGAAGGGGAACGCGCGGAACCAACGGCGGGGGCGGAATCGGGGGCAATCACGAATGCGGGTAAAGCAGCAGGGTCTACAATAGTCGCAGATGGGTCGTACGGCAACCG